TTGAGAAAGATTAATTTTTAATACAGAAATTTTAAACCCAATATATTTCTATTGTGATCATCTACAACTGTAGCCCTGAGGTACTAGTACCTCATGTTGCTGGGTACAAACACATTTAAACCTTGTAATTTGTTATAAATCGAGAGACATATTATAACAGATAGATGAGGGTGTACAAACATGCAGGTAACATAACATAACACTACAATGTACCTGTGAGGTAAAGTAGTAGTATTCCCATTTTGCAGGTGTGAAGGAATGTGGTGAACAAATTGGCTATAAACGGTTTGATATAGGTCGGAAATACCCGTGAGGGTTGAATACAAGATCACTACCCTTAAATGTCCGAGTTCTTTAAATTCAGATAACATTTTCTTTCTTAATGTTGCCTTCCTCAACACTCATTCTAGGTCTGTTATCCAACCATTGAAGGTGAATAGGATCACTGAAGACTTTTAGGTCATATCTAAGATGTGGTGATTCTGTGAAATCTTGTAGATCTTTATCACTTTTTACTTGTTTTCATTGCAAGCTTCCTCCAATGTCACTCTCCATGTTCTTCATGTTCTTCTCTTTAAGTATTTTTTTTTTGTGTTATATGTATATACTTACTAGTCTGAAATAAACATGCTTTTAAATACTTATGTAAAATAGTGGTAATGTATAACATAGGATACCTTCCATAACAACAGTTTGATGTCATAAAAAGTTTGATTTTTCTGTAAAAATGAGTCCAAAGTAAAAAGCAGTTGTAACAAGAGTTCTTCCATAGCTAGCAAAAAGAGTAAGAAGAGTTCAGAAAATGAGAAAAATATTTATCTTTCTATGAAATTAACATCTTCAATAATCATATTCCTTTTAATTTTTTTGTGGGTTCCACCAATGACTTCATCTCCCTCTATAATTGCATGTAAATTTTAATAGCTAACACATAAATTAGATTACAGGACTTTGGGGATATTAAATATTTTGTATTTACTTGCAATAGTTAAATTATTTTTCCGTAAACCATTCTTTGTCAGTCACTGGAGTAATAAATCAGAAAAAGGAAATTGGCAAACGTGATTCATTTAACTCCTATTTTTGAGTATTTGAGAACTATGCGTGGCAGAGCAGTCATGGAAGGAGACTAGGTAGCTTATAATATTATGCTCTTTTCATGTTTCTGTGAACTGACCTGAGTAGCATATGTTAGAATGAGATCATAAGGCACAATAAAAAGATATTTAATGAACGTATAGTATGTAAAACTGATGTGCATGTTTGTCTTGGCACGTATATATTGTTCCTTCATGTTGGAATATTAATGTTCTCTTTTCTGTAGACTACCCAGGAAGTCTGTAATAAATACAAAACATAGCTATCCACTGACTCATTGATAACTTTCTAATAAATACTTTATCTACGTATGTGTATTAGAAGCCATTGATGTCTTGATGATGCACTTATGGTGCAATGCAGTGCTCCCCCCCCCCTTTTTTTTTTTAAACTAATGTCAATATATACAGGCATTGGTTTGTGTTCTAGTTTCTGAAAACCTTCAGTGCAGGTTTAAATAGCTTAACTTTTTTTTTGTTTAAAAATAATATTAATTAAAAATGTTTTAAAACAAGCACATACAAATAACCTTCTTCAGTGGCCTCGTGCCACCTCTAGAGGATCTGTTAATGGTGCAACTGCGTAGATCTGATAACGATGTGGGTTTGGGTCCAGAACCATCAGCATTTTAGCTTGGCTTTCTCATGAAAAATAAATCTCGCTGTGGTTCTTTCTGTTTTTTGAATCTTTGGCTCAAATTTGACACAGGATAGAGGGCTCAAAGATAATTAAGTCCCATGAGTTTTATGAGAATCATTGCCTGGATAAAGAGGAGACCCTAGCAGTGACCTGAAATGAGAGGAAAAAGCTGCAGCGAGAGATCCCGTGTTGCGAGACCACTGGAGAGTTGCGTGGGAGACTGTCTGTCTAAATGCCCTACCGGTGGGAAAAGCCTCAGCTATGGCTTTCAGTCAACCATAAAACATAAATCCATAGGAAACCAAACTTCCTTAGTTTTTATTCTCAAGGAACTATTAATCAGTTGGTTATCAGAATATTCAGAATAGGTTTTAATACAGTGTTGAAACTGTTAGAAAAGTGGAGCATAAACTCTGGTACTTTTCCCACCAGTGGGAAAAGTTTTGTCCAAAAAAAAGTCCTGAGATAGATTAGAGCTCTGTGCGTGGAAGGAGATTGTTTCACTTAGAATTGAGCTGATGCTCCTGGGACCGGGGCTTTTTCACTTAGAAATACCTGGCAGAGAGGGTGTTGTTAATGGAAGATTTCTCAGCGTGTCTCCTGTTTTGTTAACCTGACAAAGCCAGAATGGGTTGACATCTGACTTTCCTTAAATGTGGTTACTAGAGAGGGAAATCTTGAGCCAAAAATATTAGTTTGTTCACTCATGGCTAATTGTTGGGGAAACAGTTACTGGTCTGTATGTTGTGCATGTGCCCAATTTTAGAAAAATGAGACTTTGGTTAAATTGCACTGGCAGGCCTGATTAATATTTTGAAAAGAGGTGTTTATAATTAGTTAAGCTTGCGACTTCTCTCTCAAAAGATTAGTCAGACCTCTTATTTTGGACATTATACAACTTCAGGAACATATTGTATGGCTCACTGTGCTATAGATGAATTTTGACTTAACCATCGGATTTAAAGCCTTCAGCTTCACTTGACGCTTCCTGTTTCTTGTAATGGGTGAAACTGTGCAAATAACTCTTATCTTTTTGAGATATTTTAAAAAGTCGCCATCTATATAAACATCTATTTTACTTGAGGTTTTTCACCACTAGATGAAAGATGGCTGGTGAGCAGTAACCTCTTTCAATTCTTGGATGAGTGGTGTCTGTTGACAACTCAGGCCGAGTATGTTCTTGGTGTAGTAAAATCTTAAGGAACTGCAGAAGCATATTTTCTAAGTTTGCCTTATTATCTGTTTCTTTAAATGTCTTTTAAGTTGCTATCAATTGTATGGATAGAGTAGACTTTAAATTGCTGGGCACATGGAAGTCTTTAGTAACTGTGGATTTTTATTACACCATCCTAAGGACTTTATTTGAATGTTTTATGGAGCAGACGGTGATGTGACAGTCTGTTTCCTATACGTGCTTGAACTCCAGGTATCAGAAATAGCTAAAACGTTTGGCACTCTATTAGTATTTTACTACTGTTGACTGTTTACAGTGGGATTATTGGGTGAAAATCCCTTAAATAGAGCTCTGCTTTAGGATTACCATTATGTCTTTGAATGGAGAGAAGTAATTTTTTTACCTTTATCATCTTTTAAAAAGAACAGCTAATAACCACCTGGAATCAGGCAAATTTTTTTCAGGTTAACAGTATTGTTATTAGCACCCCCCTGCATCAAACTAATATACTGAAACTTTCCTGGGAGCTTATATATATCTTTCCTGTGGTATGTGTCAATGTGCAGGGGATTGGTTTATGACTACCTGTAGTCATTAAAAGATGCCCCCTTTGTTTTATGGAGGACCAAAACTTGTTAGCTGAGTAGAGTTTTAGCTAGATTTTACAGTACTGAATTCCTGCAGAAAGCAGTTTCACTAAAAATCAACATCTTTATGAACGTAAAAAGTGGGAAAACATTAATTCCATTGATTTAGAATAATACGTAACTTTGACTGTGCTAGCATGCAGAACTATTCAGGGCGGTGCTTCTCGGCCCTGACCGTGGAAATCCCTGTGGGAGTGCTCATGGGCTACCTCCGCTTACTTTTATTTGGGCAGATACTGTAAAAGAAATTGGAGCATCAGTAGCCCTGCAGGATCAGTTTGATGGGGCGGGGGGGAGGGGAGGGAAAGCATGACCCATGTTGTTTGGTTTTAGGTGATGGCTGTGGGATGCGATTATTGGATGCGCTTTTCTGTCTTTGCATTTCCTGGTAGGAGTAAATGTTGGCAATCTCAGAAAAAGCATCCAAGGGAATCACATGCTGAGGAGTCTTCTGCAGCATTGATCCCAACCAAATACCTCTTTCCCCTTCCCCTTTTTTTCCTTTTTTGTACTAGCTGTGGGAATTCATGCTTTCACTCCGTACCCAAGAATCCTTTTGTGTTATCAGTAAATATTTTAATGTTTCACAGGGGAATCTAATATTTCCTGCTTACTAAACCTGTGATAATAGATAAGCCATATGTAGTTGAACAGTGGTGCATTTTGTGAGGAGAAGTCTTCCGTGTGTACCTTGGCATCTTTATACGAAAGTTGTGCCCTTTGCCCTTTATTTATTTATTTATTTTATTTACTCTATTCTCATACGAGCTTGTTTTCCCCTTGGTATTTTTAGTTGACAAATGCAAATGTTCCTCCCTTTTAATTTAAACCAAAAAGCCTAAAACAATTGTCAGCTTCTACAAATAAAACATATCTTTGGAGCCATCAAAACTCTGGCATTAGAAGTTAGTCTACTCCACCCAAATGTTTTTCAGGTAAAAACTTTTATTTAGTTTCCACGCAGGGTAGCGGAAAAGCCTAGACTGCCTAATGCACTATTTTTATGGTCAGGGAAGCTTTTGCTGGTCTGTAGAACTGAACATAAGACTCTGCTCGTGAAATACCACTCATTTTACTGGCACAATTGTTTGTGCCACTGTATGGTGAGCTAGTTAGAAATGGTCCAGCTTCCTCACTAGGTAAACACAGAGTTGGCAAAATCATTGAGGGGGGAAAAAAAAAAGCATGTAAAATTATGGCCTGAGGAAACCACTACCATATCACTTTCACTATAATCCACCTAAAGGTAAATTGCCAAAAGATGACACTTCTGGCTCAGCTTTCAGGAATTATTTTACATGACAATATAAATGATGTAGGAGCACAAGTCGTTTATGTTCTTTCATTTTATTTTGAGCAGGATTTTCTGGAATACTGGACAAGTAACTTTTTTTTTTAAAGTTGGGAATCACTAACAATTTTGTATTTCTGTTTTTCTTACAGTACTGTGTGCAAAAAACTTGGTGAAAAAGGATTTTTTCCGTAAGTAGCTGTTAAAGTTTTATACATTTATAGATGGGATAAATATTATGCAGGTTCGTTCTGTACATCAGTGTTTGGACATGATCATTGTATTAAGATATTTGCATTAAGGGGGGTGGGGGCTTTGATGTTTTCACATCGTTTTATTTCAGGGCTTCTAATTTTTTCTTCGGTGACACTCATCACAGACTCATAATAATAATTAAAACACTGACACACTCTCTCTGGTTTTGGTGGGAGTGGGGAACAAATTTACTCTCTCAGGCAAATTACATGTTTTGCAATTAGTGCCACATATTTATTGAAATGTTTTTCACATAAGAACTTTTTGTCCAGCAGACAGGTGTACATCTTAATTATTAATAATCATGTCATAATACTTACCTATGCTGAAATTATATTTTAATTAATTTTAATAATGCTTTGAAAGGAGCGCTAGGAAGTGGATGAAGGAGGCAGAAAGGAATGTTATTGGCTGTGAAGGTATGCACGCACAGATCACCTGTCTGCCGCCTCCCAGTTGGGAGTAGGAAGAATTCGAAAGATCGGACCTGAACTTTGAAAAGAACTTGAAGGAATGATACAGAATTATATTGCAATTTGTGATACTTCTAAAACTTGCTTTATATCTGGATTTTTGTATTGATTGCAAGCTTTCAGGTGTTTAAGAGTTTAATATGCCTAAAAAGACCCCTCAAGATTTGAAATCTGTGATGCGCTTCTGTACTGAAGCACAGATCTCACACGGTTCTGTTCCTCCCCTTCCCCGTGTGCTTTGCCTTTACCCCACGTGCTTTGCCTGACACTTGTCTCGAACCACTCTGCTGCTTGACCGGCTCCGTCGTGAGTCACCTGAGGAAGCGGAACTGGTCCAAAACTTGCGCTACAGAAAATGTGAATAATGTTTCACCGCCTTAGTTCCTTCAGCTGACTCACTGGGCGCTCAGATGAGGGGAGGAATTAGTATGAGGGGAAAAAGGGATAGGACTGCATGACTTAGGGGCATTAGTGGTGGGACCATCCCTTTTGGTGTCAGTTAATAGGTTGGTTAGAATAGCAGTTGCAGTAGAGGTAATTGTAGGCTGCTCTGGTCCTGCTTCTTTCCCGTCCTCAGCTGTGTAGCCTGGCACCATCTTTGCACTGATTTTTGTTGATCAGCTGTACCTGTGTTCAGTGTCGCCAGGGTACTAAGCTGGCCGAAAGTGAAGTAGGAAGCTAGCAGAAAACAAAGTGGACCTCAAAGGCAAGAATAACCTGTTAGAGGTGACTTCCTGTAATAGCAATAACAACCAAAATTGTGATTGTAATTAATCTTAAAAATAGGAAGAATGTAAATCTGTTTTCTCTGCCTTTTGCTGAATTCTTTGTATACTGAGAATTTACTCAATCCTGAATTAGGAAGATTAAGGGGTTCAGATCTTTTTTTTCCCCAAAGCGTTTGACTTATACAGCCCAAGAAAAAGTTGTGTCAGTGAAATAAATTGCTAATTTAGCCATTTCCTGCACTTAATATGTCATGTTATTCCAATTTGTTAAATATGGCTCCCATTTATGAATAAAAGGCAACTTCAAATAAAATATTTAAAAAAAAAAATTCTGCAATGACACAGGACTTTAAAGCATCATGATCCATTTGCCAGTTTTTTTCTTCTCCTCCTCTTAGGACTTCCTGATCCATTTGCTAAGGTTGTGGTGGACGGATCTGGCCAATGCCATTCTACAGATACTGTGAAGAATACACTTGATCCAAAATGGAATCAGCATTATGACCTGTAGGTGGTAACAGTGATAACCAAAGGTTTGAAGTGAAATCCTCTAAAGTACACAGAAATTGCCAGATGTTCTTAATACTGTCCTATTTATAGCTTGGAAAATATCCCAGAGTTTATTAGTTTGAATAAAAAATATATGTGTCAAAATACCACTTTCTCATTTCCCTCAAAATCTAAACACTACACTTGGTTTTCTGGTGATGTCTGCAGCATGCTTTACGTGTACGATAGCATTGTTTTATTGTAATATTTCCATGTTAACACTTCTGTAAAATGAAGCAAATAATTGACAGTATTTCCCTCAAACTGCTCTTCTCTTCATGCTATTTTTGTCTGTTGCAGTGCTCCGGTGTCTTTTCTTCTGTGTGCCTCTTGTTCAGTTTTCTCTCCTTCATGTCATTTTCTGTCCCAAATGTTCTTCTCACTATAAATTATTATGTTGTTATCATCAACTGATCATCTTTCAGTGCTTTTGAGCAATGTAATCGGTATGGCATGTATATGTCATGGTTTTCCTTTGTCTTTCTAAAGCATAGAATATTCTGTATAATATAAATTATTAAAGTTTTTCTTTTATTCTTTTTTCCTTGGGATGGAAGATGAGGAAGAGAAGAACAATTTTGCCTCATTGTATTCTCCTGTCTTTCTAAGGCATTGTTCTGATCTCTAACTTTTTTTCCCATGGCTCCATTCCCTATCTATATTATCATAAATTGTTTGAGCATATTTACGTTAGCTTTGGACATCACCAAACCTAGAGCAAATCAAGTATTAGTACACAGAGAATTTCTTGTCCCCCTTTGTCCCAGTGAAGAAAAGCAACTTGATAGGTCTTTCAGCAGAATGTGGAAGGCCTGGTTTAAAGTGATGTCTTGACCTACTCTTTATTTGAATATCCAAGACTAAATATGTGAAGTCATTGTTCATAATGTTTTAGTGCAGTATACAAAACATTTGCATTACTGCTTAACAAAATATCATTGGCAGTTTAGTGAAATAATAGCACTTTCACTGAGGAAAGCTATAGTATTATAGTTTTATTATTCAGACTCGGTCCAAGCTTAGATTCTGCATGTGAGACTGTAATTCATATTCATTAGAAAAAAGGATATAAAACAAATCTAAGTTCATGTAGAAGGAATGGCTCTTTTTCATATTTAAAGAATTCTAAGTTAATTTGATTTTTTTGTTATTAAACCTATCAAAATGTTGATTTATCTAGAATACAGATTTCAGACCTCTGCCCTTCCACGCCCTCTCCAAGATTGACCATCTGTTTGTGAAGATCTAGCTTGAACAGGTTTTTTTTTTCAGCAGCAATTAACACTCCATGCAGTGTCCTAACGGTGAAATTCAAGAGTAGATTGCACTGATCTTGCAGCTTGCAGCCACCAAAAATGGAAGGCTTCCTTTCTTCCCTGTTTCAACCCCTTTCCCAGTTTACTGAATGGGTTCATGCTGCCCCCCCCTTGCACTGGATCTATCTGGCTTCTGGGTAGACGGGTTCAATTCACTTAACCCACAGGAAGGTAGCTGGATAGGGGAAAAAAACGTGTGTAATTCTCTGCTGATTAAATGGGTTGCGTTGGGTCGGTAACAGTGTGCCTGCATTAGCGTGTTAGCTTGCATCAGGAGCGAGCTTTTGTAGTGAGTCTCTCGATCATCCCCACTTGCTGTGTTTCGGCTCCTTCGGGAAGAGTACATGAACCTGCCTGCTTTGGAGGACCTGAGTACCACCGATGTTCTCTGCTGCTAACAGGAACTGAAGTTGACAGGATCAGACTAGAGCTAAAGAAGAATCTCTGAAACGCAAGCACAGACTTTTATTTTTGTTTAGTTAGGTGGGCCCATTGATGATCATTAATGCATAGCTTTACAGGGATAAAAGGAGAGTAAGGTGGAAGGGAAAGTGCTGCCAACATGACTTGAGTGTAAAGCCTTCCTATAACCTTTGTACAGCTAGGGAAGGGATACTTTTGAAAGAGGAATGGTGGGCCATCATTTGGCCGTTATCTGCTACTAAATTCTGTGTTGAGAATGTCAACAGTTCCCTGCCTCTTCCCCAGTAGGTATCTGCCAGTCTGTCTTGGTGTTTGAAGTGCTGTGGTGACAATGTGAGTAAGCAGTTGACAGGAATGGGTTATAAGGGATGCTAAGTGCTCCGTGGGCTAATGACTTGAAGACTTGGTTCCCTTCTGGAGAAGAGAAGGAGCAGAGGACGTTGGAAATGAGAGAGGATGTTAATATGCAATGAGAGTAATGGGGGAAAAAAAAAGTAAAATCTTTAGAAAAAATTCCTTTTTGGTTATAATTTTCAAGGAAGGATGAAGAGAAGGTATTTTTATCTTGTTTTATGGAACAAGTCATGCTTGTATCTGGATACTGTAGTTGTCTTAGCTTTGAAGAAAGATTGATTGCAGAAACATCATATTATAAAAAGCAGAGATAGAAATGGGTTTCTGGCAGAATATTTTGCTCAGGCGGATTTGGGGCATCTGTTGTTGGATTGTCCCAAGGAATTTAGACCTGCGTGAAACACTTTTTTTGTGTGGTTTGTTTTTTTTTTTTTCTTTTTTGGAAGGAAGATGCCTAAAAAAACCAGGTTTTGTTTAGTTAGGATATTATTTTCAATATAAATTGCTTGTCCTGTAGGCAATACTACTTTGCTTGATTCTGGCTGTTGAATTTGCTGATGACAGAAATATACGCAGCATTTCTAATCCAAAGTAAAATGCAGCATTATGTCAGGCCTTGTAATTTGAAAATAATCCTCTCTCTCTCTCAAAATCTTCTTCATAATCATTTAACCCCTTTTATTGTCTTACCTATTATTCCTTACTCTATGGAAATTGTTTCCATTTATAAATATCAGTCACCTAGTCTTCAGTTCCTATTTAAAACAGCTGTAAAAGATTAGATCTCTTTGATACAACAACTCACTGCCTGGCTTTTATCTTAAGGTAACTCTTAACTGTAATATACCTGGTGTCAGGTCTCAGCTTTTCATCTGCACCAGATATTAAGATAATTAATTCTTACTTTTGAAGGAAAAAAAAAAGATAAATAATAGGAATAGTAACCATCCTACTGCTAAGCACCTGATGGCAAACCTCATCGATTACAGGACTTAATCTTTCTTCTCATCCTTTGAAAATAATAGGGTGTTTTGAACTTCCTAATGTCTACCCTAACAACACACCATTGCATGGGAACGCTAGACTCTGCCTTATGACGCTTCCACTGTTACAGGAAAAGCTTTGCACACCCAGCGTAACAGATGGAGTCTCGGTGGCAGCTTGCCTGCTCCTGCCACCACGCAGCGTAGGAAACCAACCAGAGGAAGGTGCAGTTATGTAGAATTTCTTCAAAAGAAAAATCCTGCTTTTTTTCTTACCGTGAAGATTTCTGTTGGTTTTTTAAATGACTGTAATAGGCTTATGTGCAGTAAAACTGTCACTTGGCTGTGTTGGGTTGATTGAAATGTCCCCAGCCTGGAATTTGTATAGCAGGTTAACACTGCTGCTAATTCAGTCTCGTGTATCATGTGGTGGCATATGCAAATGGCACAGTAAGATGAATCTGTTGTGATGTATTTATGCAATAATGTCTGAATTAAGTTGCTAATTCCAAGGGAATTTTGTGGCTTACTAACCTGATTCAGCATATGTCATGGTTTAACCCCAGCCAGTAACTAAGCCCCACACAGCTGCTCGTTCACTCCCCCCCTGGTGGGATGGGGGAGAGAATCGGAAGGGTAAAAGTGAGAAAACTTGTAGGTCGAGACAAAGACAGTTTAACAGGTAAAGCAAAAGCCGCGCAGGCAAGCAAAGCAAAACCAGGAATTCATTCGCTCCTTCCCATGGGCAGGCAGGTGTTCAGCCATCTCCAGGAAAGCAGGGCTCCATCACGCGTAACGGTGACTTGGGAAAACAAACGCCATCACTCCCAACGTTCCCCCAGCTTTATATGCTGAGCACGACGCCATATGGTGTGGGATATCCCTGTGGTCAGTTGGGGTCAGCTGTCCCGGCTGTGCCCCCTCCCAGCTTCTTGTGCACCCCCAGCCTCCTCGCTGGTGGGGTGGGGTGAGAGGCAGAAAAGGCCTTGACTCTGTGTCAGCACTGCTCAGCAGTAATGAAAACGTCCCTGTGTTATCAACACTGTTTCCAGCACAAATCCAAACTGTAGCTCCGTACTAGCTACTGTGGAGAAAATTAACTCTATCCCAGCCAAAACCAGCACAGCATAATAGATATTCTGTTGTATAAGATTTTTTTTTTAAAGACTTTCTGCAGTGTTATAAAGAATAAAAAAGGTTTTGCTTTTGCCTTACATGGTTCTTAATTCTGATCTTAATGTGAAAGGAAGCAGTTGAATTAGTTAGTTGCTTAGACTCTTCAGCCTAGATGGGGGTGTGTGTGGGGGGCAATCTGGGAAGCTTTCCGGAAAGAAATTGCCAAAGAGTTGCTGTCTTGATGCAGTTTAATGTCAGTAAAATACCATGCTTGCCCTGGATGTATTCCCCGTCCTTATTTTCAGTCTTGTTTGTGTTTTCCCTATTGTTCAAGTCTTTTCTCAAAGCTTTCAATAACCAGACTTAACACATTTACAGGCCTTCTCACATTCAAAGCATTTAAATACTACCTAAACCAGCAGTTCTGAAACTTAACAAATCCCCTTTTTCTCTTCCTTCCCCTTTCTTCTGTTCTGTGATAGCCTAGATCTCTCCTACAGCTTTCCCAGGCTCACCTGTGCCCTCTAGCCTACTCCAGCCCTCCCCACCAGCCTCTGCCCTTAAGGCATAGCAAGTCGTATGGCCTATTTATCTCTAAAAGATATTTGTACCTTGATCTCCACCAAAACCTAGTCCTGGTCCCATCTCTACTCTGTGCTCTTCAAATCTGCACCCCCAGGCTCTAGCATGGACTCGTTGCTCTCCTTCTTTGTTATACCTCTGCAATGTAACCTCACACAACTTCTGCAACTCCTCGTCTGCCCAAAATCTCCTCACTGCAGGTTCTAGTGCTGTTTGGTGCCTTCACATTCCCAAGCCCCGTGCGCTGCCCTGGAAGAATCGCCTTTCTCCGCCAAGCCTCCAACTCCACTTTGCCTGGTTATTGCTAATGATCCTGGATTTTACTCAGGGAGAGAGGGCAACAGCTGTGCTTAGTGCTGGTTTAGACAATCCCATCCTAGATTAGACTCCTAAAGAGCCATCAAACAGCTCCTTGCAACAGCTTTTCCTTCTTGACATGGTTGTTTAGAGCAGTTTGATGCAGCTGATGCCCTTTGCATTTAGGGTGAAAGCATTTCTGGGTCGTGTTTGGCCTGGATCAGCAGATCTGGCCATTCCAGCTCAAGCGCATCAGGTGTACAAGTTTTTGTTGAACTTCTTAGGTGGGTCTGTTAGGAACGTCTGGAGTAGAAGCCCACTTTGCTGGCTGTTTGCTTGGTGCAGCTGCTTTTACAGTGTCTTGTGGGTTCCAGCTCAAGATTGGGCTGGGGAGGAGAAAGGAGCAGCTGGTCAGTGCCACGTGTCTGTGCTGTGCTCCTGTCTAAGCCACAGCCTCTGGCTGGTTCTCTTCTGACCATCCCAGAGGCTCAAACACCCTTCAGTTGCTACCAGAGATGAGAGCAATGTCAGGGTGAAGGAAGAGAGAAGAGAAAAAATTGGGATTATTTTTCATTATGCCTCTTCGCACCCTCTTCTCCCCCAATCTGAAAACAGCCGATATCTCAAAGCATAACACTACCATTATATTAGAAAAAATTCAGAAATGGGAAAATGGAGAAACAAACTAAGTAATTTGTCCAGGTCGTAAAAAGAGTCTGTGTGACAGCATGGATTAGAAATAGGGAATTCCTGGCTTCCAAGCCGGAGTTCATACCTCTTGATGTTGCATTTTTCTCTCTTTCTGGAGGGAGTACATCTGGCTTGTGATCAGGAAGAGGTGTGTTTTTTCAGGAATATTTTTTTCCACTTTCTTCATTCTGCTTTTCTTCATTCTGCTTTTCTCTACCAAGCTGAACTCTTCAGGGAAAGTGTATATAATGCCATGGGGAGGAAAAGTCACTTGATACCAAACCTTCCTGAGTGGTATATTGGCTCAGAAGGAAATACCACCTTGGCAAAGATAATTTTATTTGGACAAAGTAACAATTGTCCCTGTGTTTTAAAATTTGATTAAAATGTTTAAGAGGTTTCCAGTATGGCATGTACTTGATTTTTGTTTAGAAGTGAAAGTGCTAAGAGTAGGCATTTTTCTTAAAGTTTCCAAACACGCAATTCTTATCCAGAGCCCTAATTTTACAGATTCAGGAAATACGGGAGTTAACAAAATGTATATGGAAATTGAATTTCCAGGTTTCCACTTCATTAACACTAATCCTGTAATCTCTGTTGAAGTACTGAAGCTGTGAAATCGATATTGCTGATTGGGTAGAGTGTAAAACAAAACAAAACAAAACCAACCCCAAACCAACAACCAGCAACAACAAAAAACACAACCCCCCCCAAAATATCACACCCCCGCCCTCCAAGAACTTTAATTATGAGGAGGAAGAGAGAGGCATCCAACAAAATGTTTTTTCTTGTGTTTTTTGTTTCTTTTTTATTTAAACTTATTCACTTTATTTTTTGGAACATTCTTTTTTAATAACAAATAAAATTCCTAGCTCAGGCTTTTATGTTGGAACTTTATTGCCAGATGTTGTAAAACAAATGTAACTTATCCACCAAATGAATTGGAAATGTCAACTTGTCCTACTGTCACTCTCTAAATGCAACCATGTATTTTCATGCCTGAAATTATGCAGAAATATAGATGAAACATTTTGCTATAGAGCCAACTAGCAGTTATGGAACTATTTCTTTTATTCCTTTGGAAAAAAAAAAAAAGAGACGGCATTTTTATTTGGAAAACGCAGCTTGTCTTGCTTATTGCCTTTAGATGTGTGAATCAGCCAGGTTTTCTGGTGCAAAAATCAGAGTAGGTTATAGTAGTAATGTAGAAGTCCTCACCTGTTTGGTATGGATGGCTTACTGTCTGCATCTCAACCATGAGAACCTCACCCTGAAACGTTACAGTAATTCTTGGAAACTGTGTTGTATATTCAGCTGTTCTACATATTATTCAAACTGTTCTGTTATGAAATTGTGTTTAACCATATACCTTTGACTTTTTTAAAGCAACAAGGAAAACTGGAAAATTCAAGACAGGTCATGATAAGTCTTTATTTTTAAGTGCACCTAACTTGTTCTCATAAAAATTTATTTTAAGTACATGAAACATTGTAGACTGCAACTGTGCACGTGAATACCCATCTTCATCTCTCGTTTCTTTATGCAAAATTGGCATTGTCAAGGTTGTAAGGCCAAAAATCTGACCTATATTATGCAATCAGTTTACTATTCAAAAAACTTTGGGGCTTTTTTGTGTGAAGTTTGTGTTGCTTTGTTTGTTTGTTTTTTTTAAAAATGTGCACTGGTTATTTTAAACCATGCTTATGGGTATGTGCCTACAGTTAGGCTTTTCTGTCTTCTACTTCTTGGGTCAGTCCCTGTCTGCAGGTGGGAAAAAGAAGTTGTCCAAGTTCTACTTTTTGGAAAAGGAAAAATGGGAGAAGTGTTAATTGAGAACTTACCTGATCACAGCTGCAATTTTAAGCCATGACAGTTAGTTCAATTGTTTGGTTTGCCAACCTTGACAGTATCATTTCTATCTTTATGAAAATATTAAGATGTTTTAAAGCTGGTAAAGTCTCAGTCAATGGGGGAGATGTATTTAGACATTGGTTGAGTTTGTTTGATCAGTTTTCCTTCAAAAACAAACAAAAAAGCACTTGGAACTAAACTGCAGAAGGCCAGAATTTGTGGTCTGGGAAGGGAGAACTACAAGCAGTTCTTGGGATCTAAGCCATAGTTACAAATTCATTTTCCTCAACTCTGAAATAACTGTAATAATTCAGTATTGGCAATAGCTGATTTATCTTAGGTGTTTTGAAATTGTCCTCTGAAAGTTTTGAAAACAAAAAATAGCTCACAAAGTAATTGTTTCTGAAGAACAAAGCTTCAAACAAAAAAGCAGAAATAAAATAGCCTACAGTGTCCAGGTTCCCCCAAGTCGGTGAAACGCAGATCTAGGTTTTGCAAAGCATTTCCGTAGTACTGCTGCAAGAGGCAGTCCACGTGCGAGCAGGGGGCGGGAGGACGATGTGGCGCATCTCACCTAAATTACTGTATGAACTTTTTGTAATGGGTCACTTTCGTAATAGGTGATGTATGTTATAAACAGGGCCTTTCCGAAGCTTTCTTAAAAGTAAATTAGCTTGCCAAAGATTTGTTAACTGCAGATGTGTAACTAGGTTTGCCTTATATTTTCCCTGAGTGCTCAGAAGAGCTCTAAGCGAGGGTGACTTGCATTGCCGGTGGTTGGAAGAGTAGCCTGAAAAGCAGCGGCAGATGAAGTGCTGCCAAAGGATGCTAAACTGA